GCACAGGGCCAGGAGTGAAATGCCATTCTCATTAAAGCCCGGCTTCGTGGTCACCGTGTCCGTTCCCGGTTCTGGTCCAGACCCTCCCCCATGAATCCCTCCCCCAGTCTGGCTTCACTGTTCCCAGCTATAAGAGATCATATCATATCTGGCCCATCCAGCTCTGATTATCTAAGTGGCGGGGGGGAGGTGGGCTTGGAGTAGGCATCCGCCATTGGGATGGGGCAGGGCAGGCCATGGGGAGCCATGGGAGGTTCTTGGGTCCAGAGGTGTCTGACGAAAGGGTGTTGGAGGGAGATGAGCTTGACGGTGGGGTGGAATGAACAGCCAGGAGGTGGGGATGGAGTCTAGGGATTGAGGAACCCAATCAGGAGATGGGCAGAACCCCCAGGGAGATGGGACTGGCAGAGCAGGAGACTCAGAGGGAACGTGGGCCAATGAACAGAGCCCATGCGTGGCAGGTGGGACCTTGGGCAAGCGACAGAACCTCCCTGGCCTCTCCGTCTGCATCTCTACAACAGGGCTCTGGAGCCCGTGTCGCCCAGGCCGTGGGAGGTCGGGTGGGGAACGCCCTAGGCATGACACATGGGAGGTGCTCACAGCACACTGCCCTCTTCCTTTCTGAGTCCAGCCCGCAGCCTGGAGGAGTTGCAGGTGGGCACACCAGCCCCTGGCTTCCTACTAGTAGGTCAGGCATCTTACCGGGGTACAGGGGATTCCCCACCCCCAACCTGTGGACCATCGGAGCTTTCCTCCTGCTGCACCGTTAATCATTAACTTATTTTCACCAGGGAAGTGTTGGTGCTAGGACCAAGGCCTGTGGAGAGCAGGCTGGCATTTAGGACCAGGGCAAGGACAAGCTGGCATGTGGAGTGCAGAGCGGGGAGTGGGAATCTCTGCTGGAGAAGGAGCCCCTAGTTCAGAGTTGGGAGGCCGGGTCGCGGGTTATTTAACGCTCTGCATCTTGACTTCCCCATCGGCACAATGGCGACGAGAATAGGCCCGGCTGCCTTTCTCCCGGGGAGGAGACGATGCCAGGGCTTTGCAGCTCAGTCCGCAAACGTGTCAAGGATGTCATTACGCCCTGACCTGGCAAACACTGCCACCTGCCCTGCCCATTCATTCCCGCTGACCCCTCACGCAGCCGGGCCCCGAAACACGGCAGCTGCCTCCCACCCTACCTGCGGCCGAGGCCAAGCAAACAGGAGCCACACGGGAAGCGAGGTATCCTGCTTCTTGGAAAAGCTTCTGCCTCCCTGGCGTGTGGCCCAGGGTGTTGGCAGAGACCGTCCCAGCGTGGCAGGCATGGGGGTTCTGGGGACGTGGAGGGGCACAGGGCAGGCCGGGGGCAACAAGGAGGGCGGGGGGCAACAAGGGGGGCTCAGAGAGGGTGGAGTCACCTAAGGGTAGGGCTTGGGCA